TATTTAAAGGCGCTCAAAAACTAAATCATTTCCTATATTGCCAACAAATAAGAAGTCTTAAAAAAATAAACTATTTAGTTTCCATGTATTATGATCAGGCTATTTATACTCTACCCAAAATTTTCAAGAGTATTACTTTCTTACAGCATAGGAAATATAGTCAATAATCTTGTAATAACTATGTATGTACTAGAATTATCGGGGACATCACTTCTTACATTATATAATTGTCTGACTACTAGTCTATACACCTGGAACTAATATAAAATAATACTGAATATCATCTGTAATTGAAAAATAAAATGTTTTTTAAATGTACTCCTTGAGCCCTGGCCGATTTGGCTCAGTGAATAGAGCGTCGGCCTGCGGACTCAAGGGTCCTGGGTTCAATTCTGGTCAAGGGCACATGCCTGGGTTGCGGGCTCGATCCTGAATGGGGGGCATGCAGGAGGCAGCCGATCAATGATTCTCATCATTGATGTTTCTATCTCTTTCTCCCTCTCCCTTCCTCTCTGAAATCAATAAAAATATATTTTTTTTTAAAAATGTACTCCTTGATATTATAAATAGAATGATAGGATAGTACATCCATATGACCTTATTTCCTAAATCATAAAACAATTAAAAGCTTTATTTGCTTTTCTCTTGTAGGCTTAAAAATACAGTAAAAAAACACAAAAATAAATTCACTTGTTTGTAGTCACACACACAAAAAGGAATATTACTTTCTTCATGCCTCCAGTTGGAGGGCAGTTTTGGGGGTGGAAAAAAAAGTATCACTTTTCAGTCTCTGATCTGGCCTCTACACTTAACCTATTAGCTAGTTTCTATAAGCCTGCAAGGGCCACAAAGATAAACATAAACTGCTCTGAAGTCATGGGAAAAGTGTCAAGGGTTCTCAACAGTAGTCAAAGGGAGTCATCTCTCCATAAACCAAGTGTTTTTATTGTATGAATTTACAAATATTTAGAATGTCAACAAAAGAGCTGCAACATTTACAATTATAAAGTGGTTCTCAGTTCAGAGAATTATTATTTAATATGGTATATCAAAAGCATACAAAAACTACCATCCCATAATTTGTGTTTTACATGATCTGCTTTAAATTTCCATACCATTTAAATGTCCCTGTACTTACCATACAAAGGTAAAGGACACTGAAAATACTATTAAAAGACAGCTACTTTAATTGTAAATTTACTATACACAAAAAAATTCTTGATTTCAATTGTCTTTAAAAAAAAGTGAGATGTGAATAGGGCAGTTAATTTCTTTGAAGAGAAAAACCCACACTATAATCAACTTTATCTTCAACCATCTCATCCTTATCACCAGTTATCTTCTCATCCTTATCTTCTTCCTCTTCCTCCTTGGTCTCTTACCCTTATCATCCTTGAAAACTCTTTTTTAAAAATAATTTTTTATTTTGGAATAATTTTAGATTACTAAACAGTACAGAAAGTTCTCATATACACCTTACCCAGATTCCTCTAATTGAACTACCTAATATAACTAAATCTTACCTTACCATGGTACATTCGTCAAAACTCTGAAGCTAACTGATGCCTTACTACTAATTAAGGCCCAGATCTCATGGGATTTCACCAGTTTTTCCACTAATGTCTTTCTCTGCTCCAAGATCCAATCTAAGACATATTACATTTAGGACTTCTTTTTTCCTATCTCAGGCTCTTCTTAAATCTTGTAAAGCAGTAACATTTTATCAACATTTCCTTCAGTTTAGCAGAATTATCAAGTTGCTTATCACCTGTAGCATTATTCAACATTCTCCCTATTCCTTTGCAACATCAGAAGATGCTGTCCTTTGACTTCTGGGTGATATGCAGAACAAAACAAGGCTGAAAGAAGCCTTTTAATATATGGGGATTCCAGAACTTCTTTGTTTTCCTCCTCAGGGAGAAATAAGATTTTCATAGAAAGGCTTGTATACTTTTGTTACGTCTTCAGGTTTTCCTCTATCCTTCCCAGACATGGTGTTCTCTACTAAGCATTCCTGAGAAAATTCTGTGAAGCTAACGGAAGCATCTGAGTATTGTTTCTGTGTGCCTTCCAGCAGGTTTGCATGAAGAAGGTAGATGACATCATGTCATTTTGCCTCTCAACTTAAGATAATCTTTGCCCATGTTTAGTTATTTCATTCCCAGTGATGCAGACTCACCCAGTGCCCATACAGCTTTCACTTGCCGTTTTAATGGTGGTTAGTGGACTACCAAACTGATTATTAGCCCTTCTTTTTTGTTCTTAATCCTCACCTGAGGGTATTTTTCCATTTTTAGAAAGTGGAAGGGAGGAGGAGAGACAGAGAGAAACATCGATGTGAGAAAGACACATCGATTGGTTGCCTCCCACACATGACCCAACCCGGGCCTGGGATCGAGCCTGCAATGGAGGTACATGCCCTTGGCCAGAACTGAACCCAGGACCCTTCAGTCCACAGGCTGATTCTCTATCCACTGAGCCAAACTGGCTAGGGCTTAGCCCTCCTTCTTCAACCAAAATCCACCTGGCCTAAACCTCTAATTTAGAGTCGACAAATGACAGGATTCATTTATTTCTCCTTTTATTCCTTATCTGGTTTCTAACATAGCTACACATTCATAAGCACAAAGTTATTGTTGAATTTTGAAAGATACAGCTAAGATCACTGTAGATATGTTGGGTTTTTTTCACTGTAGAGAAAATAACTTCCATTGGGTGCTGTGAAAAGTATAATGTTTAATAACAGCAAATCATTCTATAGGAAAAACATATGTAATTTCATATAATTTGCTTGACTGCTATTAACACTTGGGCTAACTACAATTTTTTTACCCTGAAAATGTGAAATTTTCAAAAAGACTTAAATGAGAAGATATGAGTTTTAACTTTTTTTTCTTTGTTAAAATTATTTTTAGCCCTAACCAGTTTGGCTCAGTGGAGAGAGCGTCAACCCATGGACTGAAGGGTCCCAGGTTCGATTCCGGTCAAGGGCATGTACCTTGGTTGCAGGCTCGATCCCCAGTACGGGTTGTGCAGGAGGCAGCTGATCGATGTTTCTCTCTCATCCATTTTTTTTAACTCTCTATCCCTCTCTCTTCCTCTCTGTAAAAATCAATAAAATATATTTTTTAAATTATTTTTAATAACTTTTCAAAAGTACGATTATTAGATCAAAGGGCACAGCTAAAGGTTTCTGAAAGTCATCAATGATATCTCTTGAACACAATGGGAATTCACTCTATTTGTGATAGCTGAAGAAGCTAATACCACTCTAACACATTTTCTCCTTTTGGGGGGTTAAAGACCCGAAGAATAATTTCCAGGCTCCATGAATTTGATGATTCCCAGAACAGAACAGAAGTTGAAACATAATATCATCAGCAAAAAATATCATTTTCCAAGTGGCTAACCACAAAGTATCAATGGGGGCTTCTGGATTAAATGTGGAAGAGACTATGATGTACACCTGAGACCCATATAAAATAATACTGAATGTAAATTATAATTGAAAAATAAAATTTATATTTAAAAAAATTGAGACTGTGACTCACCAAATCTAGCCTACCACCTGTTTTCATCAAGTTTTATTTTAATACAGCCCTGCCCTTTGCTTTACATAAAAAGCAGTGATGCCCGGCCAGTGTGGCTCAGTTGTTGAACATCAACCAATGAACCAGGAGGTCACATGCCAGGGGTTGCAGGCTCGATACCCAGTGTGGGGTGTGCAGGAGGCAACCAATCAATGATTCTCTCTCATCACTGATGTTTCTCTCTCTCTCTCCCTTTCCCTTCCAATCTGGAATCAATAAAAAAATTTTTTTAAAGCAGTGCTTAGTAGTTGCTACAGAGATTATACGACTTGCAAAAGTTTATCCAGCCTTTTACAGAAACAGCTCGACAGCTGCTGCACTAGACCATGAAGTTTTAAGGATGGTCATAAAGTACCTCCTCAACTTGACAGAGTGCTGGATCCATAATTGCTCAAGTAAATGTCTGCTGCCTAGATTTTTGCTTTCTTTCCAAAGTAGAATGACTTGCATAACATAAATTTCTTGAATGAATATTGTAATTCTTAGGTCAATGACTACAACTTTACTTCCACAGTTACTACTCTGATCCAAATCTTCAGTCAACTGCATAGATTAACCCCTTTCTAATGTATAATGTTCATAAAAACTAAATTATCTATCTTCCAGCATTTTTACCCTATCAGTTTTAGCAGCCTATTTTCAATCTATTACTCACTCTAGTATTCTTGTTTCTCTAGAAAAGTCTCCCTCAAAGCCCCTGACCACAGCCTTTCTTCTCCAGCCAACCAACACTGCTTGCTATGCAGGGTTTCCATTAGCACAAAAGTTGTCTTTGTAAGAATCTGATAAAGAGGCACTCTAGGGCAGGCAAACTACAAAAATTTTGAAATGCCCCTTCCTTGGAACTAGCCTCATGCCAGAGCTCAGGGCTTACAAGAAAGGAGCAGTTTGTAGAAGACCTAAGCATGGCATTCTCAGAATACAGGATGCTCTCCAGCCACAGAAACTCTGTTGCCTACCATGCCCAGCTAACTAGTTTCCTTCAACATCAAATACCCAACCTCTCCATTCATTTCAATTAATGCTGTTTCCAATGACCTTTGGAACTTAAGCCTTTCACTCTTTCTTGGCTATGTATGCATTCCCTTTGCAATTAAATATTCAGTCTGTGTTGCATGCGTAACACTATTTGATATGTTTTTACTATCTTTGGTTGTTTCAAGAAATTTGACTTCCCTTATTAATCGAGTTCTTCAAGGAAAAAAAGCATGTATTTCTCCTTACATGCCCCGAAGACTTGCAGACCTTGTCAGTGTGGCCTATTTTCATTAAAGCTGACTGAACATAAAAAAGAAATACCAACATTCTTTGGTAGTTTCCCATATTTGATGAATACTCTAATACAACGGAAATCTAAAGTCTCGAGTGTTCTAGGACCCTCTCGTAAAACTGATCTCTGAGTGTCCTTTCTGAACAGTGCAATTACAGATGCTTTTTTAGTCAGGGAATACTGGCATCACCACAAGGAGAAAGCAGAAAGCTTCCCCTTCAGTAATTCCACTAAACATTGCTTCCCAAAGCTAATGTTTCACACGAATCACCTGAGATTCTTACTACAGACACGAATTACTAGATGCCACCTCAATTCCACTGAGTCAAACTCTCTGGGAGAGGGGCCTGGAAATTACTATTTTCAATAAGCGTGTCAAGTGATACTTATGTTAAGTCTGGGCATCAGTGCCCTAGAGGTGATTCCAGGAGGGCAGCTCTCATTCTTCATCGCACCTGGACATAGAGGAGCTTACAAGGAGCTTACTTTCTCACAGGCTAAAGTAACAGGGCATACTCTGTGTAGCACAGAAATACTGCTCAATATGAAAGAGACGTAGAAACACCAAATGGCGGATGACGCCGGTGCTGCGGGAGGGCCCGGAGGCCCCGGGGGCCCCGGATTGGGAGGTCGCGGCGGCTTCCGTGGAGGATTTGGCAGCGGCATCCGGGGCCGGGGTCGCGGCCGGGGTCGGGGCCGGGGCCGAGGCCGCGGAGCTCGTGGAGGCAAGGCCGAGGACAAGGAGTGGATCCCTGTCACCAAGCTGGGCCGCCTGGTCAAGGACATGAAAATCAAGTCCCTGGAGGAAATCTACCTGTTCTCCTTGCCCATCAAGGAATCGGAGATCATTGACTTTTTCTTGGGGACATCCCTCAAGGACGAAGTCTTGAAGATCATGCCTGTGCAGAAGCAGACACGTGCTGGCCAGAGGACCCGGTTCAAGGCATTTGTCGCCATTGGGGACTACAATGGACATGTCGGTCTGGGTGTGAAGTGCTCAAAGGAAGTAGCCACTGCCATCCGGGGAGCCATCATCCTGGCCAAGCTCTCTATTGTGCCCGTGCGGCGAGGCTACTGGGGAAACAAGATCGGCAAGCCCCACACTGTACCTTGCAAGGTGACTGGCCGCTGTGGCTCTGTACTGGTGCGCCTCATCCCTGCCCCCAGGGGTACGGGCATTGTCTCGGCCCCTGTGCCCAAGAAGTTGCTGATGATGGCTGGTATTGACGACTGCTACACGTCGGCCAGGGGCTGCACTGCCACCCTGGGCAACTTCGCCAAGGCCACCTTTGATGCCATCTCTAAGACCTACAGCTATCTCACCCCAGATCTCTGGAAAGAGACCGTGTTCACCAAGTCTCCCTATCAGGAATTCACTGACCATCTTGTCAAGACCCACACCAGAGTTTCTGTGCAGAGGACCCAGGCTCCCGCTGTGGCCACCACATAATTTTATACAAGAAAAATAAAGTGAATTAAGCCTGCTAAAAAAAAAAAAAAAAAAAAAAAAAAAAAAAAAAAAGAAATACTGCTCAATATGAAAGAGACGTAGATTTGTGCTCAGTATTTAGTGAACATCATACCTAGTTAATGAAATGTGAAGCATGTGTTGCTTGTCTCACTTGAGTCACCCATCATTTAACCAGGACAAGGGAAAGGCTGTGGAAACAGAACCCAACTAGAGAGTCCCAAGTCCCATCCCTCAACTATCATCTCACCTTGATTCCTCTTAGGAGAGCAAATTCTGAGGAATAATAATGGTGCCACAGTCAGCACAAAACTCAGGTACACCTAATAACACATATAGTTTCTCCCTACCAATATTCAGGATACTAAAACATCAAGTCTTTTTGAAGGTGATGATACTAGTATCAAGTTTAGGAAACAGTACATTTCAGAGGCTCCCTGGACAAAGGTAAAACCTACTGTTCCGGAAACCACAAACACTTACCTGTGGCACAACATCCTGTAGAAAAGTCACAACACTTTCCATGTAGGACTGCTCCCTGCAAAGGGGAGAATTGGATAAAATTTATCATGACAGCTTAAGACAAACATGGGAAAATTCTTTCTAAGCCCTTAGAAGGTCACTCATAATATTTTTTTTAAAGCCTAACTCACATTACCTGATAATTCTGCTAACCTTGCTCCTTTCATTGAAGTTATTAAATACAAATGAGATCTTAACCAATTCTAAACATGATCTCTTCTGAAAAGCCATGCTATCTTAACTTGAGATAGAGAACTTCTAACTCATACTTGAAGGAGTGACGACAGAAGACTCGGCTGAAGCAGAACCTTCCTCTTGAGTCAGAGCAGATTGCCCTAATTAGACCAAGAAAACCTGTTGCAGATGACTCAGTATATAGTGACCTTCGCTTTAAATTGGTTATGAACCTAGTTCCTTATATGCATAGAGAAAAATGAATCCATATTTTTCTACAGCTAACTTTTGCCATATACAAGACATGGGAAAGTATTAAAACGCTCAAGGACACTAAAGTATTTTAAATGGGAAGTCAGCAAGTAGAGAAAAAAATTTCTTCAAAATACCAAATCAAATTCATTCCAGAGAGATGTGAAAAATTACATTTAGGGACATAATGAGATCCTAAATCCTATGTAAAAATATACCTTACATACCTACAGAGCTAATTAAGCCCAAAAACCCCAAAACATTTTGATTAGGCCTATCTCTCCAAACTCATTTTTCTGCCACTCCCTTAATGTGCTTTACTTCAGTCATATGCAACTTCAACTCCTAGATTACACCAAGCTCTTTTAATCAAGACCTTTACACTAGCTTTCCACCTAAAGTCCTTCCCATACTCTCAGCTTTCCCTTTCATATCTCCACGTAAACTGTTACCTCCTCAGAGAAACCTTCCCTGATAGCCTTAAGTCATATTCCCCATTGTCATTCTCTATCATAGCACACTGCATTTACTGTTTCCCCCACTAGAATGTAAACTCTATTACAGAGAGGAATCCATCTCTCATATTTACCTATACCTTCAGAATCTATAAGCCAGTACTTAGGCATGGAGTTGAAGCATTGTTAAAAGAATACTGAATGAAGATATTTTTTAAACCACAAAAATTATATATTGCATTATAAAAAGCAATAAATGTTGAATATAGTGAGGCAGCAAAGACAAACTGCCTGGATTTGATCCAGGTTCCCCTTCTTGGCTGTTACCAAAGAACAATTTACTCAATTTCTCTCTGCTATGGTCTCTCCACCTGTAAAATGAAGAGTGAAATAGTACCTAACTCATAGCTAATAACATGCTTATTGCCACTGTCCATAGTTAACAAAGACATATAGCCTTGGGAAATGCAGGAGGAGAAAAAAGGAAGTTCTGTGGTAAAATATCATATTACCCACAGACTTTTGTTATTCTGAGAAGGCACTTTTTATGTAACATGCTAAACTTCCCAAGGGAAATAATCCAAAATGTTACAATGCCCTTATGAACATTTTAAAAAACAGAACTAGGAGATCACAGACAGTTCAATTCCCGGTCAGGGCATATGCACCGGTGGTGGACTTGATCTCCAGTGGGGGGGCGAGCAGAAGGCAGCCAATTGATGATTCTCTCTCATCATTGATGTTTCTATCTCTCTCTCCCGCTCCCTTCCTGAAATCAATAAAAATATTTTTTTAAAAAGCAGAAAAGAAGTTTCAACTCCTTAGCCAGGTATTGAAAGGTCTTAATTGTCCACCTCACCCTATTTCACATAATAAGTCAACTTTCCTGTTTCATTCATGAAAATAGCTTGCCTTACCCACATCTTCTCACTCAATTCCCTTTGCCTAAAATGTACCCTTGATTCTAACTGCCCAAACACTATTCAGCCTTTGAAGTACACTATAAATGTTAGCTCCCTAACAAAACTTTTGAAATCTAAAATACTAAAATATTCACACAAAAATACTCTACATTCTCATGCTATTTTGCTAGCATCTTTTTTATTGATTATAGTTATTGTAAACATACATATCTTTTCCTTTTTTAAATATGTTTTTACTGATTTCAGAGAGAGAAAAGGAGAGGGAGAGAGAGAGAACCATCAATGATGAGAGAGAATCATGGATCAGCTGCCTCCTGTATGCCCACTACTGGGGACTGAGCCCGCAACCCCATCATGCCCCCTATTGGGGAATCCAACCATGATCACCAGCCGGCTCTAACATACGTATCTTAAAACCACATTAGATTATATGCTCCTAGAAAGTATACATAATAGCCCTGGCTGGGTGGCTCTGTTGGCTGGAGCGTCATACTGTACACCAAAAAGGTTTGGGGTTCAATTCCCAGCCAGGGCACATACATAGGTTGAGGGCACCAATCCCAGCTGGGGCGAATATGGGAGGCAATTGATGGATGGTTCTCTCTCTATCTGTATCTCTCTTCCTCTCTCTCTCTTTCCCTTCCTCTCTCCTTACCTCTTTCTTAAAAATCAATAAACATAAGGATTTTTTTAAGTAAGTATTCATATGCTTTGTCAAAGGCTTAAAATATAGAAATGCAGCCCTAGCCAGTTTGGCTTAGTGGATAGAGCATAGGCTCCCAGACTGAAGGGCCTCGAGTCAAGGGAATGTACCTCTGTTTCAAGCTAGGTCCCTGGCCCTGGTTGGGGCAATGTGTGAGAGGCAACTAATCAATGTGTCTCTCTCACATCCATGTTTCTTTCTTGTCTCTTCACTTCCCTTCTACTCTCTCTAAAAACCAATGAGAAAATATCCTCAGGTGAGGATGAACAATAGCAAAAATAAAAAATATAGACATGTACTCTTTATGACATTGACTTTAAAACTTTCTGACTGAGATCTTAGTGCAGTGATGGCGAACCTATGACACGCGAACTCATTTTTTTTATTGATTTTTCTTTGTTAAATGGCATTTAAATATATAAAATAAATATCAAAAATATGTCTTTGTTTTACTATGGTTGCAAATATCAAAAAATTTCTGTATGTGACACGGCACCAGAGTTAAATTAGGGTTTTTCAAAATGCTGACACGCCGAGCTCAAAAGGTTTGCCATCACTATCTTAGTGTAAGAAATACATTTTACATCACAATCTAGTAAACAGATATATCTCTGTATGTGCCATAAAACAATACTAACTCTCAACTCTATTTTTTATTAATTCTATTTCTTTTTTGAATAATAGTCCTGATCCAACAAATTGTTTAATAACCCACTAATTGTTAAACCTGGACTATGAAAAAAACATTACTCTTTAAGATTTACATAGTGCTTTTCATGTACTGTGTAAATATGCTGAATACATCAACTTGACCCTCCAATTATTCCTTTTATTTGACCTTGGCAATGATATTTACCATCCTACAAAGCCAAAATTAAATAGATTCTACAAAAGTCATCACTGTTCAAAAAGAAAACCTGAGTGTTACATCACTATTCTGAATAATCTTTCTTCAGCTATCAGGCTTATTCTGAAATTTGCTTACGTGGCAGCCTGAGGGCGAACCACAACTCCACCAGTACAACGACTGGGTCTTCTCGGGGAATCTGTAGCCATAGCTTCATTCACAAAACCTGTTTCCAGAACAAAAAATAGAAAAAATCATTGTTGGGAGTAGGGAGAAACGTTTATGGTTAATTACCAAGTGTTTGTTTTTTATTTGAACCAAACCTCAGAACCACAAAACTAGCTAAGACTCTTGCTGGACCCTTTGATCTACTGTTAAGATAAACTAGAAAAGTAAGAGAACCAGATCATGGATGGGAAGTCTAGTGCAGGATCGCTTTATAAAAATAAATGTACTACCTATAGCCCTAACCGGTTTGGCTCAGTGGATAGAGCATTGGCCTGCGGACTCAAGGGTCCCGGGTTCGATTCCGGTCAAGGGCATGTACCTTGGTTGTGGGCACATCCCCAGTGGGGAGAGTGCAGGAGGCAGCTGATCGATGTTTCTAACTCTCTATCCCTCTCCCTTCCTCTCTGTAAAAAATCAATAAAGTATATTTAAAAAAAATAAAATAAAGTAAAATAAATGAATAAAAATAAAAATAAAAATAAATGTACTACCTATGTAAGCCAAAATTTAAAAATTTACTGAAATTTTATGTTGAGATGGTTAAAATACACATGGCACAATATTTCAAGACCAAATGGAACAGTAGGGTAATACCATCCAACTAAGACTGTTGTAATCCGGAAGAAAGCGTATTGTAACTGTGGTAATGGATCATAACTAGACTTACTGTGGTGATTGTTTCACAATATATACAAATATCAAATCATTATGCTGTACACCTGAAACTAATATGTCAATTATATCTTTAAAAAAAGACTGCATGGCCCAACCAGTGGTTGAGCGCCAAACCAGGAGGTCACAGTTCAATTTCCGATCAGGCACATGTCCAGGTTTCCGGCTCCAGCCCCAGTAGGGGGCCTGCAGGAGGCAACTGATAGATGGTTCTCTTTCATCATTAATGTTTCTATCTCTCCCCCTCTCCCTTCCTCTCTGAAATCAATAAAAATATTTATTTTTTAAAAAAATAAAGATTAAAAAAAAAGACTGCATGGTCATAATTAGCAAGGTTTTTAAAAACAATTGTTAACCCCCTGCTATTGGAATCTCATCACCAGAGTCTAAATAAGTAATAAAAACTTATGACATTAGAAGCCCCTTATCCTTTCCTCTCACATCACTGAATCCTCATCCCTAATAAGCATCTGAATCCTTGGGGAGGTGTTAAGAGCATGGAGTGTATTTGGTTAAGGTTTAAAGGAGGACTGACAGCAATATTAAATATCTCTTACAGGGCTCAGGAGAGCCCACAGCCTGGAACTAATTTTGAAAAGCCCCTAAAACCCTCACTTCTAAGTAGGGAGCATTCTATCACCTTATTTGACAACTTTGAAACTGATGAGTCCCATATGCTACAACCAAAACACCCTTTGCCCGAACCAGCCCAGGTACCCCTTCCTCCATGGGTATCTTCACCTCCAGCCCCTCAGCCCTCTCATTTCCACACCACCCTTCATGTCCAAGCACAACCTCCCAAGAACTGTCCTCTGAGGGCCCTGTCTCCTGAAGACGACCATGGCCAGTGCCTCAGGCCCCACTCTCCTGAAAGACGCTCGTACCGCGCTACCCACTTCACCTCCAACGCTGTGCCACCGCTGCCCCCGGCCGCCCTCTGGCCCCTTGCCCTCCCTCCCTCCCCTCCCCCTCCAATCTCCACAGCTCCCCGTCGCCGAATCCCTGCCAGTCAAGCCCTCTCCACTCACGCGGCTCGCCCCTCGTCCTCTCCAAGCCTCCCCAAAGACACAGCCCCGCCAGCCCTCTCACCGGCCGCCCGCCGGTAAACGCTGTTCTCCAGCTCAAGCCTCACTGTTTGGAGTCCCCTCGTGATTGACGGCTACCACTTCCTACCACGCCTCAGCGGAACTACCTTTCTAGCCAATCCCAGAAGCCAGCTGCCTGCGGCCGGGCACCGCCCTTAGAGGTCAGCTTCGCCAACCAGCAAGTAGAAAAGAGGCGGACCCGCCTCCTGAAACTATCCAATCCGCTGGGGCTCGAGGGAAAACAAAACAGTATGTAAATTCGGGTAAAACCAAGGTGTCAAGTTCGGTTGCGAACGCCGGCCGGAGGAATTACGGACATGTGTATTTTCCATCGCAGACAGCACCTTCGTGGGTCTGTCAGAAAGCATCACGCCCCAGACTCCTGTGCCCCTCACCTGAGCGTCTCAGGCTGGGAACCCGAGGACCCGGGGACTGGTCTGTTTACATGGAATTCTCGCGACAGCTGGTTAGAAGCTCAAAGCACGTGGACATGGCAGCTGCCAATCACTTTTAGTTGGCCACTCATCCATTCCGAACCCGCCTTCTGCCCCGCCCTTGTAGATGTGTTTATCTTCCGGGAAGCTAGGTTGGTAGAGGGTGGTGGGCAGCCCTGAAGCTGAGGAGAGGCGCGGCGAGTGATCTCCTCAGTTTAATCTAGGTTTATGGACCACACCTGACTCCTTCCTTCCCTCCTTCTGCCTCCCGTAAGGAAGATATCAAAATCTCGCCGGTGTTGTTTCGTTAGTTACATTTCTATATAACAATGATAGCATTTATTTACTTATTGAACAAACGCTCAGTAAATACAAAGGCTCTAAGAAGGAAGTGAATTTTGAGTAAGAACGAGAAAAATACTATGGTTTAAGCAAAGTGAAGTAGTATAGAAAACTAGTTAGAAGAGGTAAGCAATGGCCAGACGGACTATGGTTTTGTACAGGATTTATAAGGAGTTTCAATTTTATTTTAGAGTGAGAATCAATTGGAGGACTTTCAGCTAGAAGTGTCATGATCGTACTTACATTTCTAAAAGGTCATTTTACCTACTAAACAGAAAATAAACTTTTGTCAGGGAAGGGATAAGGGAAGCACTGGATCAAGTATGGAGGCTATTTCATTAGACCAGGTGGGAGAAGGGGTCTAGAAGCGAAAAGTTGTGAATTTCAGAATATTTTGGAAAAGAGAACTGAAAGATCTTGATAATGCATTGCATGAGGAATAGAGGAAAAGAGAAAATCAAAGAAGATGCCTGTGTTTTGAGCTTGAGCAACTGAGTGATGACATGTACAGATAGGATGAACAATGGTAACGTTCCACATTTTGTTTTATATTTCAGATATTTTTTATTCCTTCAAATGTATTGTTTGTCAGGAGTGACTGAAATAAAAATATAATAAGAGTCCATCATCATCATGGGAATGGCTTTAAAAGAAAACTCGTCAGAGGAATATTACTGCTTCCCATTGTCAACCAGTAAATAGTTGCAATTGAATTTCTTTGACTTGGTTTCATCCTTTGTAAACTGTAGAAAGAATATTATGTGCCTTGTAGGATTTTTATAGAAGTAAATAAATTTAAAATTCTTAGAACTGTTAGGTCGAAAGGGGGTCCAGGAGCTGATGCATGCCTCCGCCAGACGGATGGTGATGTAGATACTGGGCCCTTCCTAGAATCCGTAACAGGCCAGTGCACCAGGTGGATGGTGACGCAGATACCGGTCCCGCCCTGGAATTCCTAACAGGTCAGCTACCTGGAATTCCTAACAGGTCAGCTACCTGGAATTCCTAACAGGTCAGCTACCAGACAGATGACGACACCTGGAAACCGGGACGACCCCCGCGGCACGAACTCCCACAGCTCATGCTCCCCCGCCCTCACTGAACAGCTGTGTAAAAAAATGCCCCTACTCCCTCTCGGCGCGACTCCACTGGCCCAACCCCAGGACCTGTGGACCTCGCCCGAGAGCGCAGAATAAATTCTCCTCCTTCAATCTGCCTGACTCTCTGACTCAGTTTCCTGCGCCGCGAACCTCACAAGAACCAGTTAGAAACTTCTCCAAATTAACTAATTACTAATTAACCAATGAACTAGTTCTAAGTCCTCCATTTTTTTCTCTGCAGAGTTGGTGTGATTCTTTCATGAGCCTTCAAATAAAAAATAAAACGAATGGTAATCATTTTTTGAATATGAGTGCTTAGTACATATTGCCAGCTCATGAATAATTTCAAAGTTAAGGGACCTGGGGAAACTTTTCAACAATCTGTTCTTCTGACTGAGCAACCCCAGCTAGCAAATTCATTTTCAGCATAAAAGAGTTCAAGTCAGAGAGTTCTATGTTATCCCAATTACTACAATGTCCACTATAATAAATCACTAATGACTAAAATTGCCTTTCCTACAGTCCCCAGGGAATTGTCAAGGAACTGTTCATACATATGCAAACAAAATGTTAAGGTCACTTTACATTTTATTGTGTATTTGTTTAGATAGGATTGGGATTCCTTTTTTAACCTCAAGCAAACCATTGCCTCACTCTGGCCACCAAAAACACTTGGATAATAATCATATGATTTAAGCAGTGGTGAAATAATCTGATTTCACATAGAACTATGGTGAACATTAATATGTTAACTTTCAGTCAAATAAAAGGAAAAACAGATTTTTTTGTTGTTGTTAATCCTCACCCAAGGATATTTTTTTGATTTTTTAGAGCGAGGAAGAGAGAGGGAAAGACAGAGAGAAACATCAATGTAAGAGAGAAATATTGATTGGTTGCCTCCTGCACGAACCCTGACCAGGGCCTGGATCGAGGAGGAGCCTGCAACCAAGGTATGTTCCCTTAACTGGAATCGAACCTGGGACCCTTTGGTCCGCAGGTTGATGCTCTTTCCACTGAGCCAAACCAGCTAGGGCAAGGAAAAACAGATTTTTAAAAAGGTGGCTATATAATGTATCATTCTACCCACAAAACCTTGAAATGAGACACTGTTAGGGCCAAAAAAATAGAACATTGGGGACTAACTATGGTTATGGTAAATATTAATCATGCTCTGTGTTAACGTAAAAAAACCATTGAAACCTGTAAAGAATTTTTGTGAGTTTATTTGAGCCAAACTGTTGACATATGCCGGGAAGCAGAACCTCAACGAATTGAGATAGTGCTCCGGAGAATGGCGGGGTTACATCCGTATTTATACATTCCAATCAAAGGAGGAACATAGGTGGGTTACATGAAATTCATTGGTGATAGATTAAGGAGGTGGGATTAAGCGAAGCGGGGGGGGAAACCTCTGGGATAGGATAAAAAGTAAAATGATGGACACATACTTAGGTGGGTGCAGGAACAATTAACATGATGATGAAGGAATCTGTGGTATCTGTCCTGGGACCCAGCACACCTGGCGGTGCCCCAGGGGCTCCAGATACAGGGAAGTCACAAGTTACCCAGACATTTCAAGGGTATGTTATCATAGATGCAAAAAGACAGATAGGCTCAGTTAAGGTAAAGGTTGACCTTGTCAGTGAAGATACTGGCCTATGACGTAACTGCCCACCATAACTGCTTTTAGTTAAAGTTTAATTTCAGTCCATCCTTTGTGGTTACTTTAGGTCTCCGAGTCTGCAAAACTGCCATGCAGGCCTCTCCTGAGCTTGTCAGGTCAGCATGTGGCCCCTTTCGTCCACACTCTGTTAACCATATTGACTTGTGTTGGTTAAAGAAAGGACATTCTGACCTGGCTGGGAATTGTACGCCCCAGGACCTGAGAGTCAACCTTGGACCAGGGAGTCAACCTTGGACCTGGGAGTCAACCTTGGAATGGGGTCCATTCTCACTCCATTGCCTATTATGAGAAGATTAACAGCATGTTGCCAAAACAATGGAGTCCCACCCCTGCCTCCTACTTCCCCATGCCTGTAATCCCTACTTCCCCAAGTAATCTTTGTCTTACTGTATATAAACAGCTGGCTTATGGGGAGCTGCAGAGCAGATTTTTGTCAATGACCTGCTGCTCCCCCATACTGCTGGCAGTATTGGAATAAAGGCTCATATATGACTCAACCCTGTCTCTGCTTAATTGGCTCAAGTAGTGACAGGCACCATAGACCCATTGATTGTCCAGTTACAATATTGCTAATAAATCAACCAAAATTTTTTAAAAAAGGTAAACGACAGACTGACATACCTCCATGTGGAGGTGGGAGGACAAAGAGAGATAAACCGAAGACCTTATATACTTATATGCATAGCCCAGGGACAAGGACAATAGGTTGGTGAAGACCTGTGGGGGGTAGAAAGGGGCTGGGTGGAGGGGATTAAAGGGGGAGAAAATGAGAGACCTCTGTAATACTGTCAACAATAATAAATATTTTAAAAAGTAAAGGGTGCCCTGGCTCTGTTGGTTGAGTGTCATCCTATGCACTGAGAGGTCACTGGTTCAATTCCCGGTGAGGGCACATGCCTACACAGGGCCTGCAGGAGGCAGCCGATCAATGTTTCTCTCTCCCTTCCTCTCTCTCTAAAAATAAAGCAATAAAAACATGTCCAAAAAAGAAAAAAAAGGTAAAGGTTAAAGTAGGACTGTTCCAGGCAAATTTTGAAGTGTAGTTGCCCTTTGTCTCTTACACATCAATACTACTTTGTAACTGTTCTCTGTTGATGAATGTATCATTCTATTGTCTATGTAACGAAAATGTAAGCTCTTTAACAGAAGGGATTATTTGTTTCATTTTTGTTCTCCATAATGCTCTATTCCCTAACAGGAAAAATTACATGTCAAAACCTAACAATTTATCCTGAAATATGGAACTGGTATTTATAATTAAATATTCCAGAAAGTAAAACTATTGACAAAGACCAAAAATTAGTTTCATCAACTCTTTTAATGATCTCCAGAACATATTCTAACTTTCCCATATATTACCTTCCCCATTTAACCCTGGATAAAGACTGCTTTAAAATCTGAAGTAACTTATGACAGGAGGGTTAGCTTTACAGTTGTATTATTATTTATTAATAATCATTTGCCCACCCCTGTATTTAATCATCCAAATATCTGCAAGATAATGAAAATAACATCATTAATGTTGTTACCCAAACAAACCTAGTATACAGCTTATGAATGCAATATTTTAAAAAACCCATATTCTTTCTACCCGTCTTCTGATTCCGATTGGATCCTCAGCTTCCCCTAATCTGCTGTGTATTCCAATGTGTTCTTTATTGGTGCTATGTCATTCTTTATTTCATAGTTATTATATCTCTTCTCATGCTGTTGAGCATCTTTACCATCATTACTCTGAACTGTGTTTCCGATAAATTTCTTACCTCTATTTCATATCTCTTCTTCTGAAGAATTATTTTGTTCTTTCATTTGGAGGTTATTTCTTTGTCTCCTCATTTTGGCTGCCTGCTTGGGTTTGTGACTATGTATTAAGTGGATCTGCTATGTGGTCTCCACTTTTGGTCCTAGGGCATCAGGGTTCTCTCCAGCAAGTCCTCTGTTGATTATTCAGGTAGTTTTTCTATATTTTAGTTTTAATTTCAGTTTGTTCCTAAGAACATGTCCATGCAGCATCCACTTACTCTGCCGCCATTTTTAATCTCCAAAACCATATTTTCGATTTGAGTTTCGAAATTTTGCTATGTTTTGTCTTTATTAGTCAGTTGGAAGATGATCTTGAAGGTCTACTATATTCTTTCTAGATTGTGATGGACTACTTCCAAGATGGCCAATAATGATACACACCTTTCAGTATTCATGGCATGTGGTTGCCTCTTGCATTTATCTGTGTGACTAATAAAATGCAGCTGAATTAACATGGTACTTCTGAGGTTAAGTTACAAAAGACATTGTGGTTTCTGCCTTGTTCATTTTTTTCCTTTTTTAATGTTTTTATTGATTGCAGAGTGGAAGGGAGAGGGAGAGAAAGAAACATCGATGATGAGAGAGAATCCTCAGTTGGCTGCCTCCTGCATGCCCCCTACTGGGGATCGAGCACAAAACCTGGGCATGTGCCCTTATCAAGAATTGAACTGTGACCTCCTGGTTCATGGGTCAACTCTCAACCACTGAGCCACACCAGCAGGGCTCTACTTTGTTTCATAGATACATATATATATATATATATATATATATATATATAGAGAGAGAGAGAGAGAGAGAGAGAGAGAGAGAGAGATGTTTTGTCTTTTTTAATTGATTTCAGAGAGGAAGGTAGAGGGAGAAAGAAACATCAGTGATTAGAGAGAATCACTGATTGGCTGCCTCCTGCATGTCCCCTACTGATGGTCAAGCCTACAACCCGGGCATGTGCCTTTGACTGGAATCGAACCAGGGACCCTTCAGTCCACAGGCCGATGCTCTTTCCACTGAGCCAAACTGGCTAGGGCTGTTTATTGTTTTAAGCTACTAAATTTTGAGGTGTTTTTATGCAATACATAACTAAAATTTTTTTTCATAACTACCATATTTTAATCTTTAAGGCATGAGATAAATAGGTCAAGAACCTGTTCTACAAAATATTGAAAAAGGAAGTTAATGGATATATTGTGAGAAGCCCTATGAAGGGGCGCATATGGCAAGGAACTGAGACCTCTTACCAACAAATTATCAAAACTGTGGATGGGATTGTAGAAACCCTGATTTATAGCCACTTGATCAAAAGTATATGTGATTTATAATTGGTATCTGAAGTGGATGCAGTCTTTTGAGACTGAGCTCTTAATTTGTGGGTTCTGATAACTCCAGGTAGATACAGAACTGAATTGAATTGTAGGACATCCAGTTGGTGTCTACAGAAATTAGAGAATTACTTGGTGTAGGAAAACCCATACATATTATGTCAGAGTATTCTGTGCATAAAGGAAGAAATAGTGTTTTCCTTTTAGTGGACATAGTTAAGTAGTGGCAAAGTGAAATATCCACAGACTAAACAGAATCCTATATAATAAAGGGCTAATATGCAAATCAACGGAATGGTGGAACAACCGGTCGCTATGATAACCACTGACCACCAGGGGGCAGACGCTCAATGCAGGAGCTGCCCCTGGTGGTCAGTGTGCTCCCACAGGAGGAGGGCTGCTCAGCCAGAAGCCGGGCTCACAGCTGGCAAGTGCAGGGGTGGTGGCGGGAGCCTCTCCCGCCTCTGCAGTAGCACTAAGATGTCTAACTGCCAGCTTAGGAGAGCGGGCCCAAGCCATCAGTTGGACATCCCCCGAGGGACACCCTTCCCCCCGCCCAAGTGCACAAATTTCGTGCACCGAGCCTCTAGTACTAAATAATGAGGCTCTATAGTGTACTGCTATGGACACAATCTTCAAAAGATAAGATTAAGCAATAAACACATAGTTTCAGTCTATGCATAGATTATCAGAGAGAATACACAAAAAAGGGGGGAAATACTGGTAGCCTTGGAGACTGACTTGGGGTTTTTCCATTATGTACCATTTTATACATCATGAATTTTCCATCATGCAGATTTGTTACATAGGCAAATAAAATTTAATAAAAATAGAAACATTAAAACATTTGTGATTACATAACATCTTCAACTCCTTAAAGAATACATCTGAACATAGCCCAAGGAACACATACAGAAAAGAGCTAATTTTAGCATTTGCATTTATATGTGTCAAGGCAAAAATGTTTCCAGTATTAGGTAACTACTAGTATGGTATATAATTAGACTCTATTGCACTAAAAGTGTGATTTATGAAGGAATTAATGCTGTGGCATTTTTGCATTAAAGAGTACTTAATCCATTACTCTAGTCAAATGGAAATTTTAATTTCATATAGACAGGATTAGATTATTCTCTTTAAAACCACTGGCAGAAAAGGTAAAAAGTAGCTAAATGGATTTTCCTTGCTTTTACTATACATTCAGATTTGTTGAATTTCTACTTTGGGCAGCTAACATGGTATTACAGATCTAATTTATGGAAAAACCCTTCACAATAAATCGACTTAAAAAATGTTTCTAAGTTGCTATGTCTCTCTCTTAAAAGATCTGAAAAACAAACTATTACCCAAAAATCGTTTCATTTTTTTGAGGGATCAAACCCAGAACCTTGGCATATCGGGATGATGCTCTAACCAGCGAGTTATCCAGCTAGGGCCCAAAATACCTTTTTAAAAACTAGCCACAAATAATGTTTTTCCCAGACCACTGGTCCTCAATTATTTTTCTTATGGAAAACTAGTATGCTTCCAATTATGCAGTACCTAGCATATTATAGGTATACTAGGAGCCCAGTGCAGGAGTTCATGCACCTTGAAAGGAATTGTGGGCCGCGAGGCTGCGGTGGGCACAGGAGCAGGTCTCAGCCCATCCTCTGCACCCCCCGGCCCCTCCTGCAGTGGCCCCCAGTCTCGTCTACCTGCAGCCCCGCTCCCATGTGCTGACAGTGTCCGCCCGGCTCACACCTGCTGCCGGAGCAGAGCGATTAGGGCCAGAGCCAGCAGTGGGTGCGAGCGGGGCAGTGCCAGCAGCAGGTGCGAGTGCCTGGCGGGATGGTGGTGCGTGGGAGCAAACCCCATGGTGGTCAGTGCACATTATAGCGACCAGTTGTTCAGCCGTTTGGTCTATTTGCATATTAGAATTTTATATAGAGAGATAATCAACTCTTCAATCTTTCAATGAGATGTTGTCCTAAATTAATAAATTTTAAAAATTCCTCATTGTAGAACAATTCACCACACTAAAATGACATAGTGCTTTAGTATTAGTTCCTTTTAGTTTTTTTCTACATTACCAAAATACAGTTTTATTCACTTTTAATTGCAATATGTCATCAAATGTTATAAGCCATAACTAACTTAACCATATTCTTACTGTTAAGATATTTTGCCTGTTTCAATGAACAATGCATTTATTTTAAGTTACTCTAAAAGCACGGTATGGCACAACAGAAAGTTAATATATATCATTAAAACCAACAATAAAAATCCAGCAATATCACAAACAATTTACTGATTTATTAGCTGAACAAACATATCCATATAATCAATGAAACTGTATGATATATAAAATAATAATTTAAGAAATGTTGGGAATTAGCAGCACCATCCATTATTGAAATAGCAAGAAAAACTTCACACATATTTTATGCAAACACTAGAAGAGGGTAACTACTTGAAGACCTAATAATGCCACTGTCGGGGATAACTGAGAGGGGCATTTTTTTTTTTAAGGGAAAGAAGCCTTCTATTCCAAAGATTTAGTGAGTATATCTGATGATTTTTTTTTTTTTTAGAAAAATGCTACTGAAATAAAAGATAGTGCATAGTATTTTAATCAGGACAAGGAGACTAAAAGTCAGCTACTTCTCTTCTATGAAAAATTTAGTTCTGAATTATGAAATTAGAAATAAAAAATAATTTTTAAAAGACAATAGTTGTCTCTAAGAAACATTAAGTGGAACACAGATCACTATGAAAATACATCACTTTCCAGTTTGCCTAATAATTTACTTCAAAAAGTTGTATAGTTTCATCACAAGTGACTTAATAAGCATTTTTAAAAGTTTAAAACCTTTAGCCCTGTTGTTATATTTACTGTGTATCAGAGTACGAGACTGAGTTTGTGTGAAGGATACAAATTTACACACATTTTACAGCAACATATACCCTAACAACTATAAAATTCACATTTATAATACAAGCAAGTACAAGGCCAGGATCAAACTGCTGAATTCCAAAAAGTCAAACCATTTTTATTTTGTCCTGTTTTTGGAAGTTCAACTTCGGCACCATCTTCAAAAGCCTTATATCCTAAATTTGGAAAAAAGCCATTTTTCAGATACAGTTCAGCAAACACAAACAGTTTTTCGGTGCTGGTGAAGTAAAGGATTTCCAATTTTCTTCTGGCCCCTAAGTCTGCGTCGCATGGTAAGTTTAACAGAGTTCTTTCGCTGTGAGGTTGTGGCGAGGCTTGCGGGCTGAGCACTATTACTTCGACTTAAACCATTTCGTTTATGCTTCTTCATAAGAGGGCCAGAATTGGATTCTTCTAATGTCCTTTTAAAATTTGCTGGAGGGGTTCTTTCAACTTCTTGGGCTTTCATTTGACCTGAAGTTGACATCTTTAAATTTTTTGGGTCCATAATGGTGTTTGTTGAATTGGTAGGCACCAGGCCAACTGACAGGCTATTACTCAAAGAATCATGTATCCTTAATGTCAGGGCTTTAGTGCAATTTTCTTCAAGTGGCTCTGGATCTTTTGAGGGTAAGACTGCAGCCTGGACATTCCCTCGAGCTACCTCAGCTGGGACTTCTAAGTAATTCTCTGAGAAGGCATTACTACGAACAAGGGCAGGTACATGGTCCTTAGAGTTCAGCCTTGACCAAGGGTCCTCCTCCATTGACTGAAAAACAAGAAAGTAAACCAAATAAGAAATCACGTATCCTAGAACTCAGCCTGACCCTTGGGAAGATGAAGGGTATCATTAGAATAAATGACAAATTTGGCTTTTTCCTTCTTTCTATAGTCTAATTTCTGAATATTTAGTAGAGTGGAGAATGTAAAGCGCAACATTAAAGCAACTATGCCATAAGGAAACTCACATTGTTGCTTTGACCCTACTGAGCATGGCTAGGGCTACTCTCCAAAAAATAAGTGAAGATCATGTAGAAAATCTCATATATTGTTTTTTAGAAGCTTCACAGGTGATTCAGATACGTACCACTCCTTTTGCTGTACACCTCTAGATATACATACACTCAGAATATCCTCCCATCTCCAGACAGATAAGCACGTTCTTCCTATCAAACCCAATCTTCCACTATAAAACCATATAAAATTGTCTTGCCCTAACCTGTTTGGCTCAGTGGATAAGAGTGTTGGCCTGTGGACTGAAGGGTCCCAGGTTCAATTCCGGTCAAGGGCATGTACCTCGGTTGCAAGCTCGATCCCTGGCCCTGGTCTGGGCACATGCGGAAGGCAACCAATTGATGTGTCTCTCTCACATCAATGATTCTCTCCCTCTCTCTCTCTGTCTCTCCAATCCCTTCCATTCTCTCTAAAAAATCACTGGAAAAATATCCTCAGGTGAGAGTTTATAAAATCATTTGTTTTATAGTTTCTCAAGAAATTTAAGCATAAATACTATCTCCCCCCTCAAATATGTAACATTTCCCTCAATTACTCCCTCTCTTCTCAAATAAATTATTAATATAATATATTCTTGCCCTAGCCTTTTTGGCTCAGTAGAGCATCGGCCTGTGAACTAAAAGGTCCCGGATTCAATTCTGGTCAAGGAGATGTGGCTCAGTTGCAGACTCGATCCCAACGAGCCAATAATGTGGCTCTCTCACATTATTGTTTCTCTCTCTGTGTCTCTTCCCCTCCCTTCTTCTCTCTCTAAAACCAATGGAAAAATATCCTCAAGTAAGGATTAATAATAAATAAATAAATAAATAAATATTCTTTTTTCTGGGAAAAGAAATTTTTTTATTGAACATACCTAGGGGATTAATATTTTATTTTCTGAAAAGGCCAAGTAAACCCTTTTATAGCATGGTAAGTGAGAACATATTATCTGGTCTTCCTCTGGTATAAAATCCCCAAGGAGTAAACACCTTTCAAAAAAGTGCTATGTTAAAAAACATATCCATAAAAAGAATGTTCCCTTTAATGTTTCTATAATAAAAAAGAAAAGGGAAATTGAAGCCACCTAAAAGCATTTTAATCTAACCATAAACATGAACATGCTTTACTGAAAAAAAATAAATTTTTTTTTTTTACTTTAGGTCCAATGGAAACTGAAGATGAGAAACCCATGTTCCTAATTTGGTACTGTCCCAAATAGATTGCTTCTTCTAAGAAGACTAGAGGCCTGGCGCACAAATTTGTGCACAGGTGGGGTCCCTTGGTCTGGTGGGCGATCGGGGGCCGATCGGGGCTGTCTCACCCAGTCCGGCGGGGGAGGGACTGTGGGAGGTTGGCCAGCCACAGGAGGTTGGCTGTGGGAGCACACTGACCACCAGGGGGCAGCTCCTACATTAAGCGTCTGCCCCCTGGTGGTTAGTGTGTGTCATAGCGACCAGTTGACCAATCATTTGGTCGACCAGTTGTAACGGTCACTTAGGCTTTTATATATATAGGTACTTTTTCTTTTTTTAAAAAAATTATATATATATGTTTATTGATTTCAGAGAGGAAGGGAGTGGGAGAGAGAGATAGAAACATCAATGAAGAGAGAATCATCAATCGGCTGCCTCCTGCATGCCCCCCACTGGGGATCGAGCCCGCAACCTGGACATGTGCCTTTGACCGGAATTGAACCCGGGACCCTTCAGTCCCCAGACCAATGCTCTGTCCACTGAGCCAAACCAGCTAGGGCAAGATACTTTTTCTTTCTGAGGTCATTGATTCATTTATTTTACACTGCACAGTTAATTGAAAGCTCAATACTTCTTATCTGTTTTAACACTCTAGATAATGGGCAGCAAACTTATTTCAAAGTACCAGTATGGAGAAAGGATAACAAGACAGTTTTTGTTCTAGAATAGTATACAAACTGTATATTATATGACTTTCAATAATATCAAAAACAAAAGTTGTATGTGAGTTTATCCCTCTGAATTGGGTTGATTCCAATACCTATGCTGGTCACAAGCATGTTCTAGCTGACCACAGAAAACTGTATCTAGTCATAAGTAATTATTGACCAAGAGTTCATCCTGCTTAAATTATAGAAAAAGGATTTGCAACAAGACAGGGCAGCAGTGAGTTCTGTAGACAGAAGGCTTCCTACTACCAAATAATCACATCACTAATTCAGTCACAAGAAAAATGTGCTATTCAACACACTTATAGAAATAAAACATATTGCTCTAGTTTGTATAACAATGTCAGATGTTAGATGGTATTCCTTTATAAAAGCAATCAGCAAAAACAATGGGACAATTTCAGAGTTAACACAATTTATAGGAATTTCTGTTGTGCTGTGTCTTTTTAAATTCAGATTATTCCTTCTCTTTTTGTTGGCATTCTGTGGTAATACATTGCATCTGTTAGCACAGGCAACTGCGTCCACTACTTAGACTCAACCCAGATTAATTTTTTTTAAAGTATTTCTCTTTTTTTAAAATATATTTTTTGATTTTTTACAGAGAGGAAGGGAGAGAGATAGAGTTAGAAACATCGATGAGAGAGAAACATCGATCAGCTGCCTCCTGCACATCTCCTACTGGGGATGTGCCCACAACCCAGGTACATGCCCTTGACTGGAATCGAACCCGGGACCCTTCAGTCCGCAGGCCGACGCTCTATCCACTGAGCCAAACCGGTTTCGGCCAGATTAATTTTTTTTTAATATTGTTAATATTCTTCAGGGGCCATATCTAACCAACTTTCTATTAGGTGCTGTACACACATTTGGCATTCAGAATAATGTACGTATTGGTGCAAAGATGGCTCATTGACAATAAGTTACATGACAAAGATTCATCAGGTTCTTGAGACTAGTTCAAATCCAAAGTCTTATTATATAAGAAATCTGGAAACTGTTTTCAAGTAACACTAACCAAAGAAACTCTGTCTATTAAAACAACTTAAATACTATAGAACTATATACCTTGACTGGTGGTGTAGAACTTGGGGAAGGAGTCCGCAGGCTGGTTTCTTGACTATTATAGGAAGGGCTATCAGTTAGGTTCAGATAGAGCTCATCATCATTGGTGAAATTTCCCTGACTACCCACTCCTGGAGAGATGCAGATTACTATGGCACTGGTATTATCTGCTCGAAGCATGCGCTGCCTCCAGCGGCCTAGTGCTCGATTCACAAGCATTTTGGCACAAGATTGTCCATGCTCACCACCCTATATTTAAAAGAAGGAGACGGAAGTCAACCACTACACATGTATCAAATTACACATGTATCAAATTAAAAATTTGATGTTCAATATGACCTAAATTAAATTTTCAAAATTTCAAACATTATCCATAGATCCTAAAACTATGTCAAAATCATACTATTCTAAATTTTCAAAAAATAATAAAATAAAGCTTATTCTGTGGTTAAATTTCACCTGTATTCTTATCTTTTTGGTAGCAAGAAATGTGGGAGGAAAAGTTACATATAGTTATTAAGAAAAGTTATATAGAAGTTATCTAAAAAGCAAAGTAAACATCAAGTTATTATAGATAAACAATTCACAAATGAAATAAGTATGGCAAAAAACAAAACAAAAAAACAACAACTCATTGTAAAGGGCCAATTTCCTCCTAAAATAAGAGCTTCTGAAAATCAAAGACAATGACCCAAAATAAAATTGTCAAAGAATATGAACAAAATTCAGAGACAAGGAAATATAAATGACCCTTAAACATATATTTTAAAATGGTCAGTGTCATGCATAAGAGAAAAAAAGCAACACAATAAGTTGTTATGGTATAGATATAAAAACAAATCAACAAAGAGTAAATACTTAAATAACCTCATGTTATGCAAATAAATGTAGTTTGGAAGAAAACTTTCAGCGTCATACATGGATTCAATCATTGCTAAGTTTCAGAGAACAGAAATGAAAATGATGTGCTCCAGAAAATAGGGCTACATGTCTTCAAAAGTACCCCTAGAAATAACTGAATTATGAAAATGAGTGGAATTGGTTGAAAAGGAAATACATCATGAACTACAAATGGAAAAATATTTTAATGTTATTTCATGTAACCTAATAAAATATATTAACATACTCTAAGTACAAACATATTAATGTATTATAATATACTATAATGTATACTATATGATGTACTATCTAGTTCTTTAAGCATTACATATAAAATATTTATATTATCTATAATATACTATAAGTCATTTGGTTGTCATCTGTATCCCTGAAGTATATATGGTCAAACTGGATAAATAACTGGGTTGTGTTTTTTTATCCTTTCCTTGAAAAAAAAAATAGGGAAACATCTTTACTTGGTGTTGTCTGATCTTAAGCATGTTACAGTATTTTGACACATGGCAAACGGCAAATAACTCTTCTCAGCTGCTTTGTTTAAAACCTTAATTAGCCTGGCCGGTGTTGCTCAGTGGTTGAATATCAACCTATGGACCAGGAGGTCACAGTTAGATTCCCAGTCAGAGCACATGCCCAGGTTTCGGGCTTGATCCCCAGTAGGGTGCATGTAGGAGGCAGCTGATCAATGATTCTCTCTCATCATTTATGTTTCTATCTCTCTCTCTCTCTCTCTGAAATCAATAAAACTGTGTTTAAAAATAAATAAATAAAATCTTATTATCTTGCATCCCCAAGATAAGTATCATTTTGTAATGATTTTTTAAATACTGCCTTTGTTTCTCAATTTCTCACATGAAAAAACATGCACCTCACAAATGACAAAAGGCAGCATTCATTTCTAATTCATGAATCTAACACATTCCCCAGTACATGTTTCATCATTGTCCAAACAGTAGCTCACCGAGAACTCCTTTACCTTTCACTTTTTCAGTATGCCTCTATATTTCCCTCCCAAGCAAAGCTCCATAAAAAAAAATCTGTATAAGCCAATTCCCTCAGCTCACTGTTTCAGCTGATTATCTGAGCCCCCCTAATATTGTGTCCTTTTTAATTTTATTTGTAAAATATTTTTAATTGACTTCAGAGAGAGGAAGGGAGAAGGAGAGAGGTTTTGTTAGGGAGAAGCACTGATGAAAATGTTCTGGGATTAAATAGTGGTGATGGTTACACGAGTGAGAATATACTAACAATCACTAAATTGTATGCTTTAAAAGGGTAAATAAATGTTAGGGTGTGAAATATATCTCGATTTAAAAAAAAGAGAATTGGTGAGGTTTCAAAGGTCATTACGTCAAGGGCTATTCATAATGAAGTCAGTGGTTATGTCTTTTGCTACCTAGGTTTTATATATTTCCTGCCTCGTCCCACTAATGAGCTGCAAAAGCTATGTTTTGCTTACTTCTAAGCCAGGCCAATGCAAATATCTATTTAAGGTAAACGAAAAGCACCAAAACAATGTATACACAATAATATCAAATTACTGAGTCACTTCTCACCATCATGTATTTTTTCTCCTCTTGGTCCTGGCACATTGAGATGGCATCTTGAGGTGGAATCATATTCCAAAGCCCATCACTCCCCAAGATAATATACTTGTGCTTCTGGGGATCAAGAGTGTGAACACTTGTGTCTGGTTCAGGTGACACTACAAATTCACCACTGAAGAAATCATAGCTCCACAAATCACCTGAGAGCAGAAGCAGCAAGAAGTATTATTTCCAAAATAGTAGTATCACAGCAACAGATTAAAGGAGAAAATGTACATGTTCATTTCAATAGGCGCAGAAAAGTGTTTGATAACATTCAAAATCCATTTATGGTATTTTAAAAAAGTTTCCTAGCAAAATAGAGATTTAAGGTAACTCCCTGAACCTGACAAAAATATGCCTTCTACCACCACTTCTCCTCCAATAATATTATACTGGAGATCCTTTCCAGCACAGTAAGATAATAAAAATAAATCAGATATATAAATCAGGAAGGAGAAAATAAAACTATCATTATTTGCAAATGGTTTTATTTCTACATGGGAAACAAAAAAAATTAGATAAATTATCAGAATAGATACATTTAGCAAAGTTGTTAAATACAAACCCTAAATATAAAAGTCAACTGTAGCCCTGGCCAGTTTTCTCAGTGGTTAGAGCATTGGCCCATGGACCAAAGGGTCACAGATTCGATTCCTGGACAAGGCATGTACCTCGGTTGCAGGTTCGATCCCAGGCCCTGTCGGGGTGTGTGTGGGAAGCAACCAGTCAATGTCTCTCCCCTCCTTCCCCCTCCCTTCCACTCTCTCTCTAAAGATCAATGGAAAAAATATCCTTGGGTAAGGATTTTCTTAAAAAGTCAATTGTGTATTTCTACACAATAGCAAGAAATAGAAAACAAAATTTTAAACAATTCCATTACAACATTGAACCAAATGTAAAGTAGTTAGAAATAAATTTAACAAAAGGTGTGATAGTCTTTTATGGAAAAGACTCTACAATTAGATTCCTTTTAGAAATGGAGAAATAAACTATATTCATAGAAAGGAAGACTTAATATTATAAAAATGTTAATTCTTCCAAAAATAACTTATAAAGTGAACGCACTAGTAATTCAAACCAGAATCCCAAAAGAATTTTTAAAGTTTTTTAAAATTGATTTTTAGAAAGAGGAAGGAAGAGGGAGAGAGAGAAACATCCATGTGAGATCAAATAAATAAGGATCAGAATTGGGCCTTGAACTAAAATAGGATCATAATGTCATTCCCATACATACTTAAAGGAGGGGCCTTGGGCCCTGTGGCAGATATTGTTGGTTACTTGCTCAATGGTCATTTCCCTTTTGTCCTCAGTAGGGACACTGGGGGAACACCAGAGAGAAAGGCCTTTCTTCTGATTTCAGTATGTTCTCTGCTTACTCTTGTGACACATGGCACCCAGTTGTCTGTGCCCCTAATGAATTTCAGCACCCCACCTCCTCTGTCAGTAGCTTTCCATGGAGAGCTTTCCAGCAACTATTGCCTCACCTACTGATAATCCATTCTCAAAACTACAACAACAACAACAAAAAAAACTACAACCAAAACCCATCTCTTGAAAACACAAATTTAAAATGGATGGGGTGATGGCTGCACAACAATGTAAATGTACTTAATACCACTAAACTGCACAAAATTAAGAAATTACATTTTATGTTATATGTATTTTGCTATAATTTTAAAAACACAAAAATCTAGTTATATATTTCCCACTCCAACTCTGCAATAGTTTACTCTTGTTCTTAAGATATCCAGACTATAAAAATGCATTATTTTCTCATTTTATCCATGCCTCTTATTCCCATATCTCTGGTCCAGCTAACCTGGCGTTCATTAGAGTCCCTTTTATTCACCATACTTCCCGTATCACAGAGCTATTCACAAATTCCGCTCCTATGCCTAGAAAACACTTTCTTCCCTCTTTAAAAAAAAAAAAATATATATATATATATGTGTGTGTGTGTGTGTATATATATATATATATTTAATTGATTTCAGAGAGGAAGGGAGAGGGAGAGATAGATAGAAACATCAATGATGAGAGAGAACCATTGATTGGCTGCCTACTGCAAGCCCTCCACTGGGGACCGAGCCAGCAACCTGGGCATACACCCTGACCTGGAATCGAACCGTGACCTCCTAGTTCATATTCATAGGTTGACACTCAACCACTGAGCAACACTAACAGGGCTCTTCCTCTCTAAATTTCTAGTAATTCTTCAGGCCTCAGCTCAAACATCATTCCTCTGACATATTCAGTTAGGTAAAATACCCCTGTTTTAAATTTTCTTTAGCCCAATATGCAAGCACTTTTTTTTTTTTTACAAGCACTTGTCATAATTTTAAGTTCTTTTTGTGATCATTTGATGAATGCTTCTACCCTTCTTTAAACTGTGAGCTTCCATGAGGGCAAAGACTATGTGCTTGGTAAATACTGCCCTTAATAAAAATCTATAATAGTGTCAACAACTAACTAACTAACTAACTGGCTGACTAACTAACTAAATAAATAAATAAATGGCTCTCGCTGGTTTGGCTTAGTGGATAGAGCATCAGTTTGGGATGGAAGGTCTCTGGGTTCAATTCCAGTCAAGGGCACATGCCCAGGTTGCAGGCTCGAACCCCAGTAGGGAGCATGCAGGAGTCAGTCAATCGATGATTCTCTGTCATCACTGATGTTTCTCTCTCCCCCCCTCTCCCTCTCTGAAACCAATAAAAATATATTACAAAAAAAAAGAATAAATGATTTGTGAGACTCATATGCAATTCCATCAGGCAGCCACTAGGAGGCACCTTTGCTTCATTTGTAGTAAATTATGTTCATCATTGGTGCTAAAATGGTACCCATTTTTATAAGTAAAGTTTTCTTCCACAAATAAAAACAGAAAATAGCCATAAATCATAATAATGGTGCTAAATACTATCATTTAATTTAGGCCAATAAGTATTATCATGCAACAAGTTAAAGAAAACTAGAATTTCTTTCTTAAATATGTTCCCCAAGTGCCAGAATAAGGACTGAAAAATGTAACAAATCATTTTTAGCTTAAATATTCAAATGTAAAGGGTATTATTATTTTTTAGGAGAAAATGTGATAGAAAGTAAACTCAAGAGAAAAAACAGAAGCCATTTTTTCATAACTAAAACAATTTCATCTCTCCTATACAAGTCTTTTTATATAAAGATTCATTCATTTTCATGAATTTATTTACAAAGTTATATTCAAATGTTGTAGGACATTACTATAGCAATTACCATTTACCTCCTACATGAAGTTTTCACTGTTCTAGTAGATCTTTCCTATCGACTGTTGTTATTCTTTCCCTTTTTAAAACAACAGCAGCAAATTCTCTCTTGACCCTATACTTTCTGCTCCAGCTAAAGCCTCATTTCTCTCTTTTCCTTCATAATAAAACAACTAGGAAGAGTGTCTAAATTTGCTATTATCAAATTTTCCTCCTCTTGCTCTTTCTTAAACCAATTCCAATAATGACTAGAGTCTTACTATCCTACCAAAAGATAGCTTGTCAAAATCACCAAGGACCTCCACATTGCTACTAAACCCAATGGTCACTTCTCAGTCTCCCCTTACCTGAACTACCAACAGTATTTGAAATACTGACAAATAACAGGTAAAAGTGACATATAACAAAATACCTTCTTGAGCCTGCCAGTGTGGCTCAAGTGGTTGAACATCGAACCATGTACCAAGAGGTCGCCAGTTTGATTCCCAGTCAGGGCATATGCCTAGGTTGCAGACTCGATCCCCAGTGAGGGCCGTGCAAGAGGCAGCCGACCAATGTTTTCTCTCTCTCTCTCTCTCTCTCTCTCTCTCTCTCTCTCTCTCTCCCCCTCTCTAAAATCAATAAAAACATGTTTTTAAAAAATACCTTCTTGAAACACTTTCTTACTTAACTTTCAGGACATGCTCTCCTGAATTTCCTTCTATTTTACTTGCAGCTCTTTCTCAGTCTTGTTTTGCCTTGTTACTCCTTTCATATCCCCAACTCTTAACAGTGATAGTATCTCAGGGTTCAGTCACTGACTCTTTCCCTCTCTCCCTTCCTCTCTGTAAAAAAATCAATAAAATATATTTAAAAAAAAAAAAAAGAAAAAAAAAATACCTTCTTGAAACACTTTCTTACTTAACTTTCAGGACATGCTCTCCTGAATTTCCTTCTATTTTACTTGCAGCTCTTTCTCAGTCTTGTTTTGCCTTGTTACTCCTTTCATACCCCCAACTCTTAACAGTGATAGTATCTCAGGGTTCAGTCACTGACTCTTTCCCCGCTTCTATCTACATTCAATCTCTTGATGACCTCCTTAAGTCACAGGCCTTTGAACATCATTATCTCTATGCTCTGGCTCCCAATTAATATCTCCAGCCTAAACCTTACCTACGGTCAATTCCATAGCCAGAGCCAACTGGACATCACCATTTAACATCTGTTAAAGTACTGAATCCCTTATAACTGATGGTCCAGTCTTTGCTATATCAGTTAATGGCAACTTCCACCTTTTAAAATGCTCAGTTAAGGGGAAATATCCTAAATCACTCCAATAATTTCAATAAAAAAAATTTTTAAAGACCTAAGTAATAAGGTCATTTTCATTGATTGTTCCTTCTGCCTAAATTATCTTGCCCGAGACACCGCCAGATATTAATGCCTCATCTCTTTACTCAAATGTCATCTTTCCAGACTTCTGACAATCCCATTTGAAATTGCACCCCCACCCCCACCCCCACAACATTTCGTTTTATTTTTCACAGGAGTGGAAGGAAGTGGGAGAGACAGAAAGAAACACATCCATGTCAGAGACACATCGAATGGTTGCCTCCTGCACATGCCCAGAGGTCCGTGCCCTGACAGGCGCCAGGGATCAAGCCTGCAACCCAGGTATGTGCCCTTGATCAGAATCGAACCTGCAACCCTTCAGTATCAGGCCGATGCTCTATCCACTGAGCCAAACCGACTAGAGTCAATCTACATTCTTTTTATTTATTTTCGTGTATCATCTGTTTCCCCCTTCTAGAAATAGAGTAAATTCTAAATTCTACAGGTCCAGAAATTTTTTACTGTTTTGTTCATTGTGGGATCCCCAGAAACCAGAACAGTACACTTAGGCTAGAATGCTAGCAGGCATTTAATAAATATTTGGT